ATTCCCATAATCCCACTTTCTAAAGCAAAAAATTTCCTGAGTGAGTTAAGGAAGCCAAAGATGAGACAAGAAGTGGACAATCTCATTAAGGAGCAAAGAAGGGTAGTGTGACGACGAAGAAGATATTAAATGCATTTGTGAAATTTCCAGTAACCTCAAAGCACAACAGTGTTCTGACAAGAATCCGGGTATTCGAACTATGAAAATTCATCATTAAACAACAATACAATTCATTTCAAAACATAAATAGATTAAGAATAATAAATTATACATATTCCATAGCGTGTCTTCAGGCATGTTTTCGATCCCTAAATGCCTTTGTAGAGTAGTAGAACTCTGCATGAAGCTTCGCTTGAAGTTTTGCATTCTTACAATAGATTAATTACTCTTACAAAGTTGACCTTTACTTCCCATTTTTTGGCGTTGTCGAAGTCCCGAACTTGCCGGATTAACTATTTTTGATGTATTTAAAAATATAACTCTAATTTATACAGCTGCGACAAGTCCTAGCAGAAATAGCAGTCTCATTCATTATTGTAGAATCTCATATACGTAGAATCTCTGCCCGAGGGAATATCGCTTATGATCGCTTTTTTGGAACACCATGAACAACAAACCACCACTGAAAGCATCATTGAACGAAATAACACGGGCAATAAAAACAATGATATTTAAGTAAATTTTATTAATAGATTGTAATGACCACGCATGCGCAATTTAGCCGAACGGCGTGCAACGCCTCTCTCTCACGTGACTTACATTAGAAGAGTAATTAAGTCTCTTCTGACTGATAGTAACGAAAGCAACGCGCTGTATGCCAGCGTACTAATCATATATATAGTTCTAGTTTTGTGTTAACTATTTGTTTGTTCGTGTGTCAATAATGCCCACATTACGCTCACGTCTACATTAAGAAGGAAGAATATATCCAGAACCCACGCAGAATAATATATGACATAGCTCTTATTATGAAATATTTTTATAAAAAAGTAACTAAAAGTTAACTCATAATGAATTCATTATGCTTATAAAACAGTTCACTGATGAATGCTGTCAAGAAAAGAAAAAAATATTTTGCTACACTTAAACATCTAAAAAGTGTGAGTAGTTAAAAACTCGAGGAAAATAATTTTTCATTGCAAATGTAAATGTATACATGATGAATGGGAAAAGAAAGAGGAAATTATATACATATTTGCACGTTACCAGTTCAAAAAACTAAGCTTTAACTAATTTGAGAAATCCAGTATATAAATGCTAATGAACGAATGTGAGTGGTTGAATGAGAGAATGTCTGACAGAAAAACTATAGTTATCAACAGATAAATAAAAATTTCGTGAACAATAAAAAGATTTAAAAAAAACTGAATTACGGTTTTGAGATCAGTGTTCCTTTCACGAGTCACTTGGAAAGAAACAAGAGCACTTCTTTTGCGTCCGTGTATGTCTTTAAGGAAGGTCTTATTGCATCTATAAAGCGTGATGTACGAATTTTGATCTTATGATGCTAATGCTCCAGTCATGATACAGTAGCGAGACAAAAAGCAAATTCGTGAAATAAAAATCAACAAAACCCTTTCGAACCCATTTCCATGCCACTCAGATTTTTATCACCTCTCGTAAATACTGTTAAATTTGCTCATTTTGCAGCCTTTGGAATTATAGTACACAAGCTTACATTTAAAATACATAAAAAAAAGCATGTACTTTCTCACTGATTTATTTAATTTTTGCTTTATTTTATTAATGAGTTTCTAGTCCTCGTATTCTGAGGAAGTTGATTCTCCCCCGCCCCCCGAAAAAAAAAAAGAAGCTCCAGAAAGAAAGAAATAGGCTAACGTTACCAGATGAGTAAAAAAAAGGCTAATATTATAGCATATAGAACTCAATAAAATTATACCAGTATTAAATTCAAAGAAAATAAATACTTAAGTACTCTTAAGAAGTAGAGCTAAACTCACGGTGCCCAATTTCGAGTAGAGATTTAGAGGTTAAATTGATCGTTTCAGCGATTTTTGAAAGCAGCTTTACAAATCCAATAAAAATAATTTTTTAGGAAAAAACCAGAAACATTGCTGTAAAAATATACTATTCCTTCAGATAAGCTCTCTTTTCCCTCGTATCTTAAGAAGAAAATAATAGCTTTTCAATGGGATGCACTTAAATCTGTAACTTGTTAGTGTCCTTAGAAAAACGTAATTCCGGATTATTATGTAGTATTATTGTTACTCAGATTCGGATACAAGTTCATTCCAGTTCATTTGGTTCAAAATATTAGATTTTTCGGTTAAAATAGCTCAATGTTGTGATGTAAATGATTAATGTACGGCTTCCTTTCAGAACGAAAAGAAAAAAAATTGCACATTTGCTAGGTGTAGCGAAGTGTCTAATTTTAATAAATAATCTTATTAATTGTATTGTAATCTTGGTGCCTTTTTGTTGTTTAAGTTCCTAAAAATTTATAATACTATTATTATTTATAATATTTGTTAGATGTCAGATATTTTCGCACCTTGATGTTTCGAAAACTACGTATATCTTGATATTTCGGAAAATTTATTGGTAAATTGCATGCCTTTACTTATTTTCATCTTTATTCAGGGTATTCAGTTTGTACTTGCATTTTTCTATTAACGTTTCATCCATTGTTCTCACACTTCAGAAATTTTCCAAACATGTGATTTCACCTTACTTCTATTATTTACGTTTCAGCTCACACTAGAGTTATCTACTACGTTCGATCTCTCGAAATCCTGGTCAATGTTATCTCCCCTTCTCCTTCCTTCTTCCGATATCCCTCTTGGGAACTGCGGTCAAGATTCATTTATGTGAGGTGCCCTTGCGGGTTTACAAGACAAATGAGCCGTATACACGTCACACAGAGCGTAACGTGTCTGGCTCAATTCCTGCAAGATATCGGCTTAGTATGCCTTAGATATTATAATGTTAATATTACTAGATATTTCTATTGGAACGTAGGTTTATTCTAAAGAAATAATATTGTGATAGTTACCAGTAGTTTATCCATGACTACTTTACAGCTGCCATTGTAACCAAGTTCCTTGGAAATTAAACGACGCTTAAAATTTTCCCCTCTCGGTTTTCGGACGATAAAAATTAGTTTCGAAAAGGGGGGGAATACGGTATTTACTGAATTCCCACCTGTCCTCTCTTTTTTTTTTTTTTTTTTTCTGCAACTACTTCCTCACCAATAAAGAAACTTGGCATTTATAATTTATTCTCTTCACATAAAAAAGTGTGAAATCGGAAATTTACATAATAGTTTTCAATATGTCAGTTGAAATTCTACATGCATGTAATCACAGAAGGAAAGTAGCATGAATGGCCTCATAAATCCGTGGTGCTCCACCTCGGTTCAAGCCTTCCCAGCTAAAATTGATCACCTCAGTCTCCATTTAATAGAAACACAATATCCTAAAAGTTATGAATAATGGTTGTTACAGAAGGAACTATCCTCAAAAGACTTACGCCACTGTTACTGCCAAAGAACGAGATAATACGCAGCAGTAATCCTATTTATCTCTTTTTTTATTATCTTTTCCTTTAGTTTGTTACAAGAACAAAACATCGTTAGGTCGCTGACGTGAAGCTCATTTCGAGGTGTTAAATGCAGTAGTCCCTTTTAAAGTAAAGAGATTTACTTTAAGTTTCCTGATAGGTAGGGTTACAGTCATTCGCAATTTCATTGCCTGTGATCGGGCAAAAAGAGTTGAAAATAAGGTTTCATATCTGATATTTTATACTGAGCCATAAATCATTTATAAACTCTTTACTGGCTCGTAAATTAACTCTTTTCCTTCTCAGCTTGCCACGCGGAAAAGAGGGAAGTGCCTAAACCTGAGAACATCAAAGCTGTTAGAAATTGGTTAGATCGTTTTAATCAGATCAGATTATTTGAATTAAGATAAAGTTCTTTCATGAGAATTGCTTTCTGAGTAGAAGCTTGTATTTACATTACTCATAATGGACATTTTGAATATGTAATTTACAGACTGAAAAACTGAGCAATTCGTATCGTATGACTTAGCGAAGGTCAGGTCAGCTTACTTTCCCATTATTTTTACTTGTGATAGAAATTATAAATGCTTTATATAGTTAACTAACTTATTTCCGCTCTGTAAATGCGTACTAGCAATAATGCTGCTAGAATATTTCATCAAACCGATTTTTTCCATCTTTATCTGCTTAGCAGCCATCTTAGTCATAAAAAAAAATTGAAAGGTTTCAGATTTTAAATTAAGTCCAAAGGGGCGTTTTTTTAACATTTTGTGTGTTGCCTCTATTTATTAAATATATCATGTTCTTCACACTTAAAGCATGAAATTCAGTTCAAGAGCAATATCGCCAAATACTTTTAAATTGAGTATATCTTTAGAATTTCCGATACACAGTCTCACGCGCTGGGGCTAAAAATGTTTTTCCTGTACAACGTTGCCATGGCTCGCTTTGAAACCCTTGAGTTTGTTAATCAAAAATTCGTTAAAGTTTTATGAAATATGAAACCGATAACAAAACAAATTCAAAATTTCAAATTTGGGCTTTCAGATGCCCATATTCGCAGTAGAATTACGTTATCCAAACCTGGATGGCTCTAGGTACCGTTGTTTTATCACAATGTCATAAACATACAAATATTTATGCAGATTCTTCATTATTTAATTTCTTCAAAAATAATACAGGGCGATAATATTTGGTGGCAACAGTTTGAAAGGTGAAACAGACATTCAGAGTGAACCAACACAAAATCGCAAAACGAAAACCATAGTCCTTCAGGCGCAAAGCCTCTTTGAACTAAAAAAAATATTTGATAATTTTAATGAATCCAGTTAATGTAGTTTCACGGGTCCAGCTAATAATTCATAATATTGCTGCTAATAATAGTGCAGCTAATAATTCATAATCTGCGTTTATTGCTTTAAAATCGCTTAGTTTGTTAATTAATAACAGAATATATTTGAAATAAAAATTAAATAACTTACACTTCACCAAAAAGACATGGAAAAACTGCCACCTGGAAAATAAAAATACTTTACTTTGAAAAGTGGCATCACATTTCATTTAAATCTCTGAGTTCTTTTATTAAATTTGAAAGATAAATATCTTACGTTTTGCCGAGTGGCAACACAGTTCTTTTATCTTGTGAGTTTTCTGCTAAAATATGAAACATAAATACTTTTCCGCTTTTGCCGAATTGCAACGCAAGGCATTTATACCGCTAAATTTGCAAATCAAACGTTAAAATAGTAACGTAATCAAAAGTTTCTAATTTCGCAACATAAAAAGTAAATATAAAAAAATCGAAATTCAAAATTCAGGCTGGCTTCGAGGTGCAGATATTCGGGAGGAGGACAATGTGTGCTCAAAATCTAATGGTTGTGTGTGTCGCTGTCTTCCACAATACGAAGAAGATACAAGCATACACACATACATAAATACAGATTCTTAATTATATAATGGCAGAAACTAAAGCATGCATTCAAAAGCTCTACAGTTAATTGTAAAAGGGTAAGACATTCCCGGGAGGGGCACGGATGCCCTGAACAAGGGTTTCTTAAACTTTTTTCAGCCGCGACCCCTTTTTATCACTGAGATATTTTCGCGACCCCCCGGGACCCCATAATATTTACAAAAATTTTGTGGGACTCCTTAAGTGTTGAGCAAATCGGACACACGCGTTAGTTTTAGGTCATAAACTTTAATTTCTAATTTTAATACATAGAACAATGTGAAAATTTTCAAAAAGTAACAGACGAAATGACAGCGTCACGTGCAAAGCAAGGAAAATGAACGTTTCTATTATAAAAATTAATGCGTCGAAAAGTTTTCGTTTATTTCTTTGTCTGTATTGTCTTATCTTTATTTATTTTCAGATACATTGTGTAAAAATATTTGATAACTGCAAAATTATTATAATAAGTTAAAGAAATATCAAAACTGCTAAACATTTTGGCGACCCGCTGCAGCAGATCCCGCGACCCACAGAATCCTGCCCTGAACTAATTTTTCTCAAATACCGTGACAGATATGGTTGCCATTAAAAACAAAAATACGAAAAAAATATTACACACATAACCATAGGACCCCTTCTCGTCTTTGGGAAGCCATATCAATTCAAGAAATTATTAAATGTTTGATCGTTATGTCAAAGTAGTTTAAGCTATGTTGTACCACCTGCTGGAAGAACGGAAGAGTTTTAGATGCATTTTTGTAGGTAAAAGTCAGTTCATTAATTTCTGAATGGGATTCAAAAACTGTTGGCGAAGAAAAATGAGGAAACCTATTTACATATAACTTGATTTCTGATGTTTTTTATAAAAGTGCTTGGCAGAAAATTATTGCTTTTGACTATTATAAATTCATCTAAACATATGTATTTCATTAAGACACAATAACACGCCGAACAAATACTAATTCAGAAGTCAGATAACAAAAATCAGCGTAATTTTGAAAATATAATGCTGATGTTTGTTGTTTGACTTCTGAATTAGTATATGTATTTCATGTTTCTCAAAGAATGTCACTTCAAAATTTCCATAAATCACACATATCAGTATGCTTTCACAAGGTATGAAAACATACGAAGTTACGTACGTTACTTAGGTCTAATTTATGTTTATGAGCAATGTTTTAAATAAAAAATTTGAATAATTTTGCTACTTAGATAAATTCAAAAGCAAATAGCTGTAAAAATCTTTATTTAGGATTTACTTGATTGTGCTATTCTCTTCCTAAGTCAGGTATCTCCATTGTTTAAGACCTGTCGGTTATTAAAAGATTTTATTTATAATGATCTTTTTTTTTTTCACTAATGCACTTGACTGTCGAAACGTCAAAACGTTCGTGAAATACTTTGGTCTACTATATTAGTATAATTCAGTTTGATGGCTGAATTCTCTTCCGACGTGGATATCGAACCTACCAGGCTCTTGACTTTGGATTGTGAGGTGCATCTTTTCATTCATAGCAACGCTTGGAGCATTAAATATTCATACCACGATAATGCTACTTGACTTAAGTTAGTAGAAGTTAAGCGGCGAAAAAATATAAGTAAATCTTCGTCAACGTTTCGTCGAAGCAGTTGCACTTGACCGGTCGTCAGTGGCTAAACAATTCGCCTCTCTCCAGGCAAAAAATGAAAGAAAATAATAAAAGCTTTTAAAGTGGTGGCAAGAAATAAGTTGGGCGATCTGTCGCCACCTATGGCACACCCACCGCGTCAGTCAGCGCGAAACAAGAAGTAACAAATACCGTTATAATAAAAGATCGATGATGAGAGAGGCATGGGAGAGCAATGACCAATTGACCTTGGTGGCGTTGTATTGAGAAGAAAGGCTTGGGCGCTGGCGAAAGAAACGTATCTTGCTCGTGACAGCAAATACTTCGAACAATGCTGTAAATCGTGTGCCGCGATCATTTTGCTAGGGAATTATTCTAACAACGCAACAATAAGGTCGATTCCTAAATCCCATGTCCTGTTTTTGACGACTTTTCTAGGACCTACATAAGGCAACATTATTATTTTTGTTTTTCTTCTGTGGAATTCATGATAAGCTTGTTACCGAGACGGGAAGGAGTTTAATGCCAATGCGAAATTTGACTAATAATAAGAGAAATTCTTTTGTTTTCTTCAAAAACACAATGATATTTATAAGAATATTATTGAGCTCTTGTCGCTGAATTTGAATCCATGCTGAACTAGGTCAGTGTGTTCCATGTGAACGCTTTGAACTTATGAATGATGAAGAAGAATTGAATATCGTTGCGCTGATTCGATGCATGAAGGTAAAACGGTATCATGAATTAAAGTTTTTGATAACGATTTACTCGTTGTTCATTACAGCTAGTTTTTTTAATTAAATTTCTAATGGCTTTAATCCCTTAATTATGAAAATTGCCGGTTTACTTAACTGAACTTAACTGATTCTATGAGAGTCAAAAAGAAATCTTATATCTGTCTTCTTCGTATTCTCTGTAACTATGATCGAAATAATTCCAAACATGGGCTTGAATGAGAATAAATTTTCTTAAACGATTAAACAATGATTAACTCTAGATTTGACAAAAATAAAAGACCGAAATAATATCGATTATAGTTTGGCGGACCTTAATAGTTAAAATATACTAAAGAAAGCGTAATACTTTTATAGAAAAAATTAAGGATTATTTCGTGTTGGCATACGAATTTTAAATAACTTTTAACTAAATTAAATTTTTAGCTAACCATAAAAATGCTTTAAATTATTTGTAGAGACATTAGGTATTTTGGAAGCAGGAAAGATGAAAAATATGCAACGTCTTCGCCGGAAATCGAACCGCGGACCTCTCAGTTACGCGGTGACCACTACACCACGAAGGCTCGCTAAGAAGGCGGGAATAATATCTTATAAATTAAAAAAAATTTTTAACTGACTTTGCAAATGTCTTTATGCATTTCTAATACATTTCTACAGAGATAATTTATGAAGACTTTCGAGAAAATATCCATTCTTCATGAAAATTGATATTTTGTATGAATATCTGTATTAATTGTTTTGACTGTTCATTACGTTACCTGAAGAAGAGAAATTTTTGCTTTAACTGCTTCCATTTATGAAGTGTTTAGTTTTCCACTAAAAATTGCAGCTATCGATCAGTTGACTACAGCAAACTCCGCTTTGCATTATCCTCAGATCATTTTGCCTTGAAAACGAACTCTGTTTAAAACAAAATTTCATTGTTCTTTTTCCTTACCTTTGTTTCCCACTTCTTTTAAAAAGACGCCAGATATCTAGTCGTATTTATAATTTCATAGCTATTTGTAATTCACAGCCTAACCATTGTAACACTGATTGCCGGACTCTAACGTAAATCAGTAAAACATTGGAGTGATCAATCTAAGTTTATTCTTTACAGTGTTTTCAAATACCCTTCTGTTTGATTTTATTCAGCACTATTATTCCTTTTATAAGAATAAAAATGATATGATATTATATTTATCCTTTATATAATAAATATTTTTTAATAATTATGAATGATGAAATAAATATTTTTTTCACTTTTGTTTTACATAAATACTTACGCCTGTATTATTTCATGCAAGCTTCCATGCATAATTGATCTCCTAGTATAATCCATTATCGGTGCTTTATTTGGCAAAACAAATGACATACTTCATAAAATATTTTGAAGGAGAAACTGTACGGAAGGCTGAGAAATGACATTTTTTTCACAATTTCTGAAGTTTTCCTCGGCTGCAAGTAACGTTTTTAGGTAATTTTTAACAAATTTATTAATAATAACGACATTGGTCAATTGGTGTGTTTCTTCCTCAGAGAATATATTTCTTTTTAAATCAGGAATAAATAAATTATGAGTAGGCGCCGCTTAAAGTGATAACGTTTGTCCAAGGCTATTTTGTTAATATTAACCGAGTGATGACATTAGACATTGTGAAAAAATATCCATTATCATAACAATGAAATTTAATTAATTTAACATAAACTAAAGTAGAAACATATTAATAGTAATTTTGGCAGCATTATAACCACGAAAAAGAAAAAGTCGTTATTATTAAAATGTCTGCAATTGCTGCCCAAAAGTATATTTATGAACTGTGTCTCTAATGTTACTGGAAATTCTATGATCGACGTTGTATCCCTAATCTTAATACTCCGAGGACATACCTTATATCAGTATTTATAGGGAATTAACCGATTTCATCTTTAAAAAGCTTTTCAGAAAGTTTATTGCATGTTGTGCCTGGATTTGTTTCAGAAAGCCCTGGCAGATATATTTTATCATCTTTTTCTTCGCGAAGAAGAAAGAAGATCTGTGTCTGATTTCTGTCGAAATTAATAGAGCTGTTGAAGATCTGCGCCAGAATAAAATTTTGCCTTTTTGCCTAATTTTAAATAGTTTACTAAAATAAAAACCAGAAAGTGTGTTGACTTAATTCCTTACTTTTTTAGACATTTTCAATCCTTTGGCAATTTTTTAAATTCATTTTGGCCTTATTTGGAAAATGTGCTTAGG